CTGACTTTCACCTGATTACACGGTTTTATATCGCAGGGATAGAATTCTTCATTATTGAAAAATTTTACCCTGTTTGTATATATGTTACAGGCAATGTATAGAATTGTGCATTATACAGAATATCCAAAATCCACAGGCAAAAATGTGAACTGTGTGGTGTTTCATATACTGCTGAAGTATTCTATTTAATACTGGGCTCAATATCGGCAGTGTGTTAAATACGGATGGAAGAAATGAAGCAGACGTAAAAGCTTCATCCGCGGAAAAATGGGCAGTCCTTCAACGGCTAGGTCATTAACGTGTGACGTCTTCCGAGGATTCAGAGCAGTAGCAGCAGGATTATTTGAAAGATGAACGACCCACTATACTCACAAGCGGCGGTGTGTATTTTTTCTGTTCCTTTTAAAGTGATTCATTCTGCTTGTTCTTATAGCGTTTGTCTCTGATGCACGCCAAGTTTCATTAATGACACCAGCACGGGGAGACTCCGATCGCGTGGAACTTGCGAAGTAACGTTTTTGTGTAGAATTGAACAAAACCAGAAGTGCTACTGGAAGGAAAGGGCTTTCTGAGGAGTATGAGGTTCCGGGAAGTGACGCCGTGTAGACTAGTAGAACGTCAACAACGTTTTAAAGGAACCTGCAGCAGTTTCCTCTGACATGTTACATTCTATCGGTTTATACCGCGCCACTCTGAAACGTGTTACTTCTTTAAGTAAAAGTTAAAAGGTAATGCTATTCCTGTAACAGGAAGTGGAGACCCATAGGATTCTGAGGAGTCGAGGTTCCCACATTTGGGAGATAATCGGCCACAGATGGCGATACGGCTGTCAGTCTTACGCGCCGGCCGCTCTTCANCCCTTTACCCCCAAGAATATTCCTGATACTAAATTCTGTTAGAGGATGAGTCGACCCCAGGGCCATAGTGCTGCCGGAAGGATCAGGTAAATCGAAAAAAAAAAACATCTCATCGGGGCTCGAATCCGCGACCTTCCGGCTTGTAGTATAGTGCCTCAACCAACTATGCTACAGCGTTTTACCGCTTCTCTAAGTAAAGCATCTTAATTATTAGCCGATAAGTGGGGACGGCACAGCTATTAAAGTGGTCTACTACGAGCTGGACGACCGGAGTTCAATTCCTCGAGGAAGGATTTGGGATGTTTCTCTTCGAATCACACGTAGCAGACCGTTTCTGAAACATCCAGCATTATATTTAGTGGGCACAAGTGTCTCTTTACCGTTGCTAAAGCAGGTGAAGAGTGAAGCTAGCCACACTCCCCCATCTACTTCAGAGTTTAGGAATACTTAAATCTTCATCCTTACGTGCCTCCAAGGTTTGGCGTGCCGTTATTGGGGTACGACTCGTTGGTTGAGCAACATCGTTAAGGCATTCGTGACAAGTACTTCTAATTCTGTTATGTAACTTCCTGTTTCTAAGACATGCTGGATGGGACTCACCCTCAAGGCCGAATTGCCAGGTAGCAAGTCAGGGCTATGGAATTACTGCGAGTCTTATCGCCGGATATGTGATGCCCAACGGACGTGAAGTAATTTCTCATTTCGAACTTTCTTTGGACGGAAACTTTAGGCCAGATAAATTGCCTGCACATCTTACGCGAGCCTCCAGTAAGCCCTAGCAATAATTCACTTACACGCTGACAATTCCTCTTTTCTCCATACTACAGCAGCACTGTCACGCCCTTTCTCAGATAATGAACACATTTACTGTCTTTCAGACAGATCCGCATACACAGTGTTACAGAGATTGTCTCCCGACCCAGGCTTTTCTCGCAGTTTTATTCAGTTGCGTGATACCCTTCCGTTCCTGAACATAAGTCAGCTCAAAGATGAGCTAAGCTAAGTTACACGTCGCTGGATTTGTATTCGGGATGTACCCGATTCGAATCTGAACTGGTTTACTGGCTACGCAGAGGTATTCATGAATTTTCACAGTTCCTTGTATATTTATATGTCACCACGGTACAGACCATGGCTTTTCCACGTTTTCTTTCCACTTTCGTTTAGAGGACATAGGTTGCTCTCCTGTCGATCTGTGGTGAACTCCAAGGAGGCTCGTAAAACATATGAACTTATTCCGGAGGTATCAGGTTCCAAACTTCACCATGTCACTTGGTACCCTGACTGAGATTGTTCATGGTTTCCTGCGACTTCACAGTGGAATGTTACAAAGTATTGTGACATGTTGCGCAACGGAGGACTTGTTCTTTAAAATAAATACATATTATTTATACTATAATATATATTATAATATATATAATTATAATATATACATACTATAATAAAATAGGCAAAAACCTACTCCTTCCGAATCCTTACCTACTCATCATTTAGTATCACATTTCCATTCCATTGAACGCTATATAACTCCTACCGTTGAAGCAGAGTCGTTAAATACCCAATCTTCCTCTACGCTCGCTATATTAAAATCATATGACTTGCAATGAAAAACTGAGCAAATACTGTAAAAATAGTGCAATCTCATTCCTCCAATCAGATATACGGCAGAACCTATCTAAACGGAATCTGAATTAAACTAAACAAGTTCCTTTACTGACAGATTCATTAGTCTCGATATACAGAGTGAAAATAAATGAAAATTTACTTATAATAAACTGAAAAATTCATGAGCAGAAACGAAACTTGGAAAGAGGCATATTATGCAAATACCTTGCTTGAGTGTTTTCCTCTTATAAATGTATTGTTGAGTTGCTTGAAATTTATTTTAGAGGGAACATTCCACTTACAAACGGAACACTTCAGCTGGACTGTCAACAAAATATGCGGGGAATGCATTAATGGATTAAGGAAAATATAAACAAAAAACAAAACAAAAGAATAAGTGAAAGGATGTATTAAGGAAAGGAAGAAGGGAAGAAATGAAGGATGGGAGGGCAGAAAGAAAAATAAAACTAAAACTGTGTACTTATAGGTCTAGTGCAGTTATCTGAAGTGATATTGAGTCACAAGCACATGGGGTATATTTTCTGCAACAGTTTTCATATAGAAGTAGGCCACCTCTGTTAATCGGAAAGCTATCTGAAACAGAACAATACTCAGGTCCTTCGGAATACCATTATAAGAAGGTTTTCTTCTGCAATAGATAGAGAAAGTAGAGACATTTAACAGTCTTTTAGTTGCCTGTGTGGAGCTAACAAAGACTTGTAAACGTTTACATAAAAAAGGGGTCGTAATTATGTATTCTTTAACGACGTACGTATCAAACTTCTCACTCACTCGGACACCAGATACAACTTCAGTTGTGTCCAGGCATATTGGAGGGAAAGTCACATATAGCCACTCCTCTGCTTCTTCTGTGCCATCAAGTACTTGCTGGTACCTACCAGTCTGAGCTGGTACAAGAAAGTTCTGAAATTCCTATTTCTTCCATTTGCCTTTTGTATCACAACAGACAATGCATTTCTATCGTCACAATAATTATACTTGATGTTCAGAATCCTCTGTGGTCTAGTGGTCAGAGTTCCTGGCTACAGATCCAGAGGTCCAGGTTCGATTCCCAGCGTTACCACATTTTATGAGAAGTAGTGGGTCTGGAACCGGGTCCACTCACCCTCGTGAGTATAACTGAGGAGCTATTTCAAGGAAATAGCGGCTCCTGTTTAGGAAACCGACATTAACGGCCGTGGGGATTCATTGCTCTGACCACGCGACACCATCTATCCGCTAAGGTTGGCATTAATTTCCCTGACAAGCGGCGGTCGCTAAGTCGATATAGTTCGCTTGCGGACTAAAACCACGGAGTCTGTTTCTTGTTCAGAATACAGTTCTCTTTTATTAATTAGCTAGCTGTATACAGTAAGCGTAACCATATTCGCCGTATAAATGCTCGAAACGAAAGTGCAAGATGTAGTCGATATCAGTCCATCTGTCCCTGTGATTATTTCAGAAAATTAATAAGGGATTTCTATTAAATTTAATACTCGGTGGGAGGGATTCTACGCCAGAACTTAGGGGGAAATTGAGTTTTACCTCGTATAAGTCCAATGTCTCTCCTACGTTATATGAAATCAAATCAACCTACAATTTTTTTAATAACGCCACAGAGCACAAAAATTGGCAGCCATGCTAACACGGTATAAAAATGTATGAGATACACAGAATATGTTCCCGGCAGGGGCAAAAGATTTCTCTCTACTCCACAATGTCAAGACCGGCTCTGGGGCCCACCCAGCAACCTATCTAATGGTTATGGGGTGCTTTTCCTCAGGGGTAAAGCGGCCAAGGTGCGAAGCTGACCACTCACCTCCATCTAATGTCGAGGTCAAAAATGTTGGAACTACATCTCCACTCCCCCCCTAAGTCTTGATGGCACAGTGCTTATATAATTAAGCACATGGATATCTTTACATTTACACAGAATACATACACTTTTAAACTTCCGGACCATCTGTTTGAGTCTATTAAAATTCCGTACAGGCAGCTGACGTTAAACTTGGTATAACAAAGTAGATTTTCTACGATTAATTGTGGGTGTTATCAGCGTACAAATATAATAATTTATCTTTTGGTTCACTCTGCATTGTTCTGTGGAATTCTGTACAGTTAACTAAACAAGCCTACTAACTGAGGCTAATTATTACTTACCTGTTTCAGGAATTCATTGGAACCGGTAGGTTCATCAACGTATTAAAGAAACCCTCACTGGACCTATCCCAAGCCAGTTAAATCTAGCTCATATTTAAAGACACAATTTCTTTAAGATGCACTTTGATAATATTTCCATCGCCTTCTATGCCGCTCATGTAGTCCCCTCCCCCCACGGGGTCTTCTAACCAGAATTTATCTCTTTTATGCGTGATACACAACTCTCCCATCCATTCCCGTTGATTTAATGAGCCTAACACTATTAAGCGAAGGGTATGTTATAACTCTTACGTAATATTCTCCATCCTCTCTGCCCGCAGATATTTTCCTCAGCACACTGTTCTCAAAACATATTTCACTTTTACCAACACAACGCACCCTTTCCGTCTGGCACTGACGTTACGTGGAACCTCCCCGCTCTGAACACTTGGGCCGTGTCATCATCCTCCGCGTCTTCACGTTCATGGTTCGCAGTGTCTACTGGGTCATCACTTTCCTGGACGCTGGAGTGTTTACTGCTGATGGCCTCAATTAGTGACACCTGGATGTCCTGCCAGATCTCGTTGGAATACTCTGCATATCGTTCGCGCAGTGTGTCACGTGGCCTGAGCGTAAAGCGATGGGCTGGTTCCTCGAGCCCGTCGCTGTCCTCCGAGAAGCTGGAGTCCTCTACGTCATCGGCGGTCACAAGAAGATCCTCCAAGTCCTGGCTTGTCATGCTGGCAGCATCGTCATCTTCTTCTTCACTGTCGGAGCCTGAATCACTGTACGCACTCGAGTGGGAGATGATCTCAGAGTGCTTCAACCTCTCTTCCTCCTGCTCACAGATGGACAGAAGTGTCCTCTCAATGTCCTCGATATCAGAGTCTGACCCCAAGGTGTTGTTGTTAATAGCAAACGTTTGCTTCCAGGTGACGTCGTCGTCCTTCTGCATACTAACGTCAGAAGAAGCATGTGGCAGTGGACGGACGCCTTCCGGAAACTTGCGCCTGACCCGTGGTGTCGGTGCGATGCTAGGCATCGGGGTCTCACTGGAGTACTTGCTGTATTTACCGTAGTAGTAGTCATCCAATGTGTCCTTTTTCTGGCGTCGGACACAGGAACAGAGGAAACTCATTGCTGCTGCATCGCCTGAATCAACTCTCGGACTGAATGACTCGACGAGGCTTTGAGAGTTTGTGTTTGTGCTGTCTTCACCGCTTGAGAAATAGGCCTTACTAACCAGGCTAGGTGCATCCTCAAAATAGACGCTGTATCTCTCTAGTTCAGAACGTGTTTATATTGGAGTTAAGACGCCAGGCACTGAGCCAATCGCGCGGTCAGTGTCGCACTGTAAACATTAAACAATTTTACCCCTCCCAGTAACAAGTGCTTTTCACCTTCTATACTCACAACTCTCTATGATAATACTTATCGACTGCCATAGCTTACTTTGAGGACTGCTAATGTCCAGCTGTTTCCGCGAGTTTACCTAATCGGATGGCAGTCGGAACAGTTTAATTACCAATGAAGTTTACCTTTACGAAGTGTCGTGATAGCTGTGCCGCATTCATTTTGAAATCTTGGTTATTCCACCTATTCAAAATGTTGTGGGAATCTGCAAGCAGATCACCATTCTCATCCTTCACTAAGTTACTTTTACGTTGGTAAACCTTCTTAAATTACTTTATTCCTCTATACAGGCCTGTAATGTTCTTGTTCTTACTGTTCGCTGCAAGCTCATTAATTTTGTCTTTCAGATATTCTCTTTTATTTCTGAAATGCCTGCTCGCTCTATATCTTATATTGTTCATGTATCCCTATTTCTTTCGCTTGGATCCTGTAACCACTGCAATTTTCTTTTTCTTTGATCTAAGAATTCTGAGCACCCTTCCCCTAACCATGGCTTATGTTTCTTCATTTCATAATAACCTAGACTCTCTGGCAGAAATTTTTATATTCTCTCTAAAAGATTCCCAAGCTCTATTAATATCCATCTCTGCGTCTAAGTTTTCCAAAGCTGCGAACCTATTTGAGATTTCAACACGATACTGCTCTTTGCCCTCTACCTCGTTTAAATCCATGAGATTGAACTTCTCTGTATGAAATCTGTGCTTTCTTGATTTACTCATTGCTAGTCTATCCCTAAATTTTGCCACCACCAGATAGTGGTCAGCATCACAATCTGCTGAACTCAACGATCGGACATCAAGTATACTTGAACGACGTCTCTTAGCTATCAAATTATGGTCAATTTGATTGTCAGTCTTTCCATCAGAAGAAATTCATTAATGTTAAAATGTGGGAGTGCCACGCGCTAGCGCAGTTGCTTGAGGCACTATGCTACAAGCCTGAAGGTCACGGGTTCGATTGCCCGTGAGGTCATTGGATTTTTCAATTTACCTAATCCTACCAGCCGCACTATGGCCCTGGGGTCGACTAAGCCTCTAACAGAAATGAGTACCAGGAATCTTCCTGGGGGTAAAGGCCGGCCGGTGGGTTAGAATGACAACCTCACTGTCATCTGTGAGCCGACTGTCTAGAAAATGTGGGAGCTTCGACGCCTCACAACCTTATGGGCCTCCACGGCTTGTTACAGGGACAGCTTTACCCTTTTTACCTTTAAGATGTGGGAACGCTGTACTTTTGACAAACTTTTGGATGTGGCAAAGTTTACTACTCTAACTCCATCATCATTACCAGCCTACAAGAACGTGTTCGGTAAAACAGAACGCGATGCTCCATCTTCACGCCTTTCTATGTATTCATGACGCCGTGCTAAGTTATAATTACATCAGCCCTTCATGGTTCTATCAGTGCCTGCACACCCCCGTATGCCTTCGTGACGTAGTATTAACAGCTGTGACTCAGGACCTGCTTCATCACAAGAGGCAAGGCAATTGCGTCGCGACGCTATTTTTACAACCAGCGGCGTCCATCGATCAATCTGAGGCTGAAAACATGCAGTGGCGTGCCATTTGAAAACGGAAAACTATATCAGTAATTGTATGCCCTCTTTGCGAAAAGGGGAAGAAGTGAATTCGTAGAGAAGGCGTCATGTCCGTCTGTCCGCATATTGGTGTACATATTCTACATTACTGAATGAATAAGGCAAAGATGTCCCTGTGTTATCACACTATGAACAAATATGGAGCGATGGTACGGAAAAACTGTATGAGGAAGTTACACTGAAATTCGTCGGGAGAATTTGGAGTTCATACATTTCCAATACGAGTATAATCCCTAATTTACATACAGTTCAAATCAAACTTTACTTCTCCCCTCCCCCCAAAAAAACTACTCATCGTAAAAAGCTGGCGTATCACACAAGACACAGAAGACATTAAGCTATGAAACTTTCTTTTTAAATGATTTCCAATGTGGTCTCTATTTAGAGAGCAATAAGGAAAGGCATTTAATGATTCTGCAATATGAATAGTTTTATAGCAACATGGTCAGTGTTGAACTTAAAAGATCCCTTATAGATTTCGTTCATATATTTTTTTTCCTTTGATAGTTAATACAATCAACTTCCGAGTTTAGCATTGACGGAGCTGTTGTCTGGGTGGGGAAGCAATTTCCATCTGCAACAGATAGATTTTTACACGTAGAAGAAAAAATTGGGTATGCGAAATTGCAAAGGTCGCGTTTAGAAAATACGGGTATAATATTTCCATGGAAAAGAACTTTGCAACCTGTTAAAGATGAACAGGAATTTAAGACTGTGAATTCCAGGGTAGTTTTATGAAGAATATTTGGATCAGAGCAACATGAAATACGCAGGGAATGTCAGAATTGATACTAAAATTCGTGTTCTCAATCTTCTTCCGTAGGATGTTTGACGACGCTTTCACTATCGAGATTATGTAGGGCAGGTATGAATGAAGAGTTAGAAATGATTTGGAAGGAAGTGGTCAGAGCCTATTTTTTTTTTATTATTGCTAATGGGGTGGGACTAAGTCCCTTGAACTGCGGCCACTTCTTGCCTATTGTACCAGCTCCAGATGATAGGTGAGGGTGATTGTGGAGCAATTGGTGGAATGAAGATTGGCAGGGGAAACTGAAGTACTCGGAGAAAACCTACCCCAGCGCCACTTTGTCCACCACAAATCCCACTTGACCAGACCCGGGATCGAACCCGGACCGCCGCGGTGTTGACATAGCCTAACTGAGACCCTATTCCCGACATTTATGTATGTGGAAGGACGTAGGAAAACCACGACAGTTAAGAAAGCCGGTGCCTCGGTCGAGAGTCGAACCGAGCATCTCCTGTATACAGAGCTGCTTCTAAACCAGCCTGTTCGGGAAGATTCATGTTGGGTATAGGCACGGAAAGAAACAAAATACAAGCTCGAATCCTGTATGACCAAATCATAATGAAAATGCGTCTTACGAATAAAAGAGTTTGAGAATGAGACCTAGACTGAACTGACCAGGGGTAGATTCCAAAGGAGAACATCTGGGAAACTATGTAAGATTTGAGGTTTCCACGGTGCTGACTATGAAGATGTGGCGTCGTGTAGATATTGTGCAGTCTGCAGCAACCTGCTCACGCTGGTTCCTCGCTCGCGGATGTTTTTCTACACTGAAGATGGAGGCGATACTTTCCTCCGAAACGTCGGTTTACACAATATCTACGCGGCGCCACATCCCATAAGATGGCATTCTTCTTTTGGTAAACTGACTGATTCTTACACTATGCAGCAATTCGGTTCCAGCTCCACTTGTTCTGTAGCATGAAATGAAAAAAAAACTGGATGATTATGAATGGTAAATGAATAAGGGTTTAGAAGGAGGCGGTAGTCACCTATTTGAAGGCACTAACCTATTATTATTTTATTATTATTAGAGGGGTGGGTTTCCCATGCACTTAGACCAGTTATTGGTCTCTTGTGCGTCCCTCTTTAAGTTCTACTGTCCCCATACCCTACCGGTACCGGTGCGTGCTATCAGCCTCGTTCAGCCAACGAGGTCGGCCGTCGGTACCTGATATTTCCCCCATCTACCAGAGGCGTTGGAAACTACTTGGGCGGGAAATTGTTGCCTAATTAATTTTGCTCAGAGATTTCCTAGAGACATGAGGATCTTTTACGTGCCGCAAATCTACGACACGGGACCCACGGCTTAAAGTTCCTCCAGGAGGACTTGTTCCCTGAATTTTTCCGCCCTTAAAATTCCACGACCTCCGCCGGGTTTGAACCCGCGTACCTTGAGTCATGAAGTGGGAACGTTACCCCTAGACTACGGAGGCAGCTTAAGGCACTAACTTAGCATTCACTTGGAGAGAAAGTGAAAGATATAAAATCTCTGCCAGGATAATCGGCAACTCGGCGGAGATTTGAAAAGGTACATCAGAAATGCATGCTTTGATTGCGATACAATTAACTCTTTGTATGGAGACGCTTATCAGTGTGTAAACAACCAACTGCATAACAACGACCTCTGACTTGGGCACCTTGTCGAGAACTCCGATACAACTTCCTTCACAATTATATTAACAGACCTAAAGTTGTGAGCGAGTTCATCCGTGACCTACATGCAACCGCTATAACTCAAAGTTACTGCAGCCGTGCCTCATTGGCACATACCATTTAAAGCTATTCTAGCATAAGGAATATAATTTCACAGTAAGGCTGCGCCTGAGGCCAGGTGGTTAGCCTCCGGTCACCCACCACGATACCCTACTTTAATCCCAGAAGGTCATGAGGGATTTGTAGTAAACAAAGTGTCACGAGGAGCAGATTGTCTAAGGCCTAGCGCACACATGCAATTTTTAGTAGGCTGATAGTTGTGCACGTCGCCGAGAAACATTGAGTTTAAAGGGCCTCTTAGCGTCCGTTTTGCCTGCGCAGTTCTAAGACGTCAGGTAAGACGGTCCGTCTGTGGTAGAATTTTCGTCCCCGTACCGTCTTAGGCTTGGCTTGAAGTAAATCTGTCAGCGACTTATTTTTCTGTGCGTGTACAGGCATGTTTGCGAGCAAGTTGGAGCGTGTGTGGGGCCAACAGTTTTAGCGTCAGTTTTAACTAATCGTTCTAACTGTGCACTTCGATGTCGGACTTGAGAATCGTACCCCGAGCATTTTTGAGCGAATTCTTTCAGCTGTATTGTAGTAATCCGTGTTTGTGGAAGATCAAAAGTAAAGAGTACTCTGATAAAAAGAAAAAAAAAAATCTTGCTTATGAATGCAATGGGGCACGCGGTAGCGTAGTTGGTTGAGACGCTAAGCTTCAAGCCGGAAAGTCGCGGGATCGAATCCAGAGGAGGTCATTGTATTTTTTTTTTCAAATTACCCAAT